GGGGTACCCAGGGCTGCCGGATGGACAGATTCTGGGGCACATTCCGATGGCGGCAACTGTCCTAACCGAGCTGCTCGGGAGCAGACCTTGAGTGGGGGGATTGGCTCGGATGTTTTCCAGCAGGCCTGCCTGAAGGTGCCAGGAGAGGAGGCATTTCCAGAAACTTCTGCTGAGTGAGGAAAGACACTCACAGAGGGTGCCTTTGGCTCCGTCCCACGAGGGAGCTCTGGGGATGGTGTCACTCACGCCACAGAGGGGTCCCAAGGAGGATAAAGGAGTTGGATTTTTCCCTTGCCTCTTACTCAGTGGTTCTGTGGTAGAATTCTCACCTCCCATGTGGGAGAGAGCCAGGTTCGATTCCTGGGCAGTGCACTTCATGCACAGCCCACAACTACCTGTGGCCGCAGGCGTCCATGCTGCTGTGGTGCTGAACAGGTTGCAGCAGAGCTGCCAGGCTATGACAGACCAGGAAGAAAGGCCTCTGGGTCTACATCCCCAACCCCTGGCACTGAAAACCCTATGATGCTCTACAGGGCGGCCCGTGCCCAGTGGGCTCGCCAGGAGTCAGGGGTCAGCTCTGTGGCAGCTGGCAACAGCAAGAGCCCTCCCTGGCCAAGGACGCTGCCAGCAGCAGCCTCTGTGCCGCAGCCAGGGGCAGGCTGATCCTGAAGAAGAGCTTCAGGTGCAGGCTGCTGAGAGTGAGAGCACCCAATCTAAAGGGGGTCCTGGGGGCTCTGGGCAGAGCTCCGACCACACATATGCACGAAACAAAGCATCGCAAAGGGATTGGGCGGGTGAGCTAACTTGTCCGTGGCCGCCAGGCTGCAGTCAGTCGCAGGAGGCAGAGGGGGGGAGGAAAGCAGGGTGACCTTGCCCAGGGTTTGGTGTGTGTCTTCCGCCTACCTGCTTATGTCTTTTGGCAGCAGGAACAGGCCAGCCTGAAGGTGCCCAGGTGGGGGCACATGTACTCCGAGAGCCCACTTGGGAGATGGCGATAGCCTGGGGAGGTGTCTCACTGTGCCCTAGTACTGCACGGCGGGTCTCCTGGGCTTCAGGACCCTCGCTTGATTATTGGACAGATACCATGCCCCGCACCCCCAAATAACAACTCGGATGTGGGTATGCAGCTCCTCGCCTGATGGTCGTGGCTTCGGCAGATTCAGGCCAGAGATGTCAAGTGCACATGTGCCCCCGACACCAGCTTTGCAGAATCACCTCTCGGCAGCGATTCTCTCTGGCTTGGAACATTTGCATTGTTCCTGCTGACAGAGGGGCAGTGACTCTCCCAAGGTCACGCGGCAGGCTTCTGGCAGAGCTGGGGAAGAACCCGACAGTGTGGCTCGCGGGCTTTGGAGACAGGCTGATACGTTTGGGACCTGCGATATGACCCAGACCACCCTGCCTGTGTGTGTGACCTCGGTGCCACCTTGCTCTCTGGACCTCAGTCTCTTTATTGGCAAAACGGGTAAACGTCGTGCCTTCCTTAAAAGGCCCTCCTGAGGATCCGGTTGTGCTGATAATGGTAGACTTTTCGCCTTCCATGAGGAAGACCTAGGTTCGACTCCTGGGCAGTGCACCTCACACTCAGCCATCGACTGGCTGGCAGTGGAGTCTCGCGTGTTGCTACGATTCTGGACAAGTTTCAGTGGAGCTTCCAGGCTCCGATGGCCCAGGATCATAAACCTGCCCGTCTGCTCCCCAAAGTCAGCCAGTGAAACCCTGCAGTCTCGTGGGGCTGGCGCAGGGCCTGCAGCGTTGGATTCTGCTCCACGTAGGGGACCTGGGCGACAGGCTGGCTTGAGAGCAGCCAGCAGCAGCAACACGCTTTTACAGCACGTCTGCTGTTCTTGAATGTTCAGCCATCATGTCGCTGTTCCCCACCCCTCCCTTGGCAGGGAATCAGGGCCACGTGGATTCTCCCCAGTTGTCGGATGAGAAAACTGAAGGCAAGAAGGATCCCGTTCCCTCAAGGCAGGGCTGTTGACTGCAGGGGAGAGAGCCTGTGGTCCTTCCATGTGTTGGCTGAGGTGTGCCCCTCCCTCACCTTTCCTCACACACACCCTGTGCCTGACAGGGACTTGGTTTGACTCAGCAGACCTTCACTGATGTTGGCCTTGGGCACTGTCTTCTGTGGGGCCCTAGAGCCAAGGCAGGGGTGGGGTAGGGGAGTGACTCCCAGCTGAGAATGGGTGGATCAGTGGGTGGCTGAGTGTGTGATATCTGTGAGACCCCTGGAGCCCAAGGCTGGGGCAAATGGTGGAGATACTCCCAGGGGAAACGTTTATGTATACCCAGAGGTGCCCTGGAAGGCAAGCCTTGTGATCTGCATCGGGAAAACCAGAGGCCCGTGGACCAGATTTCTGTCCTGACACCCTTGCCTCACCGGGAGTCAGGGTGTCGATGGCAGCTGGTTTGGTTTGTATTGGTTGGTGTGTCTGAAGCCAGAGCCCAGGGTGACAGTGCCTGAGGTCTTCTGGGTCTGGGAGAGGGATGGTGGGATGTCTCCCAGGATTCCCCGACAGGCTGGTCTCCTGGTTCTGTCCCGATGGGGATGCAGAACCCACCTGGCTTCCAGTCCCTGAGAACCCCTGACCTTCTGTCTGTGCGGCACCCCCAGCTAAACTGCCACGAGCCTCCGAGAACTGAGCAGTGCTCTCTTTGCCTGGCAGAAACTCGTGACTCCAGGCCCCAGCCTCCCTGGAGCCAACTTTCTTGTTCCCTGACGCCAGGGCACTGTGGGCTACGGCACTTGGCGGTGAGAGTTGGGCAGAGCTGCCTGGGCTAAGGTGGGCCCTGGGACAGGAGCTAAGCTTTTTTCTGTTGCCCTTGGACCCTGGGAGCTCCGGGGCTCGTGGGCCCTCTCTCTCTTTCTCTTTCTCTCTCTCTCTCTGGCCTGTCTACCCTCTGGACTACCCAGAGCTGATCAGGCAGGCTCAGGTCCAGCCTTACCCTGAGATAGGCAGAAGCCCCAGGAGGCCCCAGGGCAGGGCTCTGACTAGGCAGAGCTAATCAGCCTCCTGGGCAGGAAGGGAGCTCCCGTGAGGCCAGATGGGAGACTCCGCTGCCCTCTCCCCACATCTCTCCTACCAGCTGGGAAGGAAATTGCTTCACATTGATCTCTGCTGGGCATACAGCCCATCCAAGGACTCCTCCTGGACCCCTGGGATTGGGTTGGGGTTTCCCAGCTGGCCCCAGGGAACCCTGTCTCCAGCTCCTTAAGGAACTGCCCCTGCCCTGGAGTTTTCTGCCAGCCTCCTAGCCTCCGGCTGGTCTGGGGCAACAGCAAGAAGATGCTTGGATGCCCCAGGTCCCTAAGAGACCTGAGGAGGGGGCAGTTTAGTAGAGAGAGCCTTGCCCTCTCCAGCCCTGCCTGCCCACTGTCCAGTGGGATCTCCCGTAGGAGTGAGTGGTTGGTCTCGGGCCTCTCAGGGCAAGGTGGAATGGAAGCGGGTCTGGGACTGGAAGGGAAGGCTGCCTCCTCCTGAGCCGACTCCAGCCTCTGCCCCATCCTGGGCGATCTAGGTCAGAGTCCTCCCGCCCAAGCCTCTCCCAGCCCAGCCTCTCTCTCCCTCCCTCCGAGGTGCGAGCTTGTTATAGGCACAGAGGCTATTGTTAGAAACCACTGGTTGCCCCCCTTTGGATGTTTGCCTGCAACCACTCCAGTGACCATCCCAGAAGCCTCTCTGCTCTCTTGGCAGCGTGGAGCAGCGGAAGGCGGCTGGAGCCAGGAGGCCAGGTGCGGGGGCTGTGCAGCTTATGATGAGTGATGAGTCTGGGCCGCAGTCTCTCGCTCAAGACCCAGTGTGGCGTCTTTGGAGAGTGGGGATGACGCCGAGGAGTGGCCCTAGGGGAC